GCCCGTACGCATCTGGCACAACCCATGATACCGCGACTATCCACTCACTGCCATTCCACTCTACTTTCGCAGCCTCACCGCGATCTCCATGTCGCGCTTCCTCCTCGACCTGCAAGAAGCGAACCAGAGAATCGTCAGGCTCGACCCCGACAATCCGTCGGGTTCCTCGAGGGACCCATACGACGCGCCCACTAGCAACTTCATCTCATCTCTTGGAGGCTTCATCAACCCGGATCCTCCGGTGCAGTCGGACGCTGGCGCTGACGATGAACCGGACTGGAGCGTCGGCTCACGTTCCGACGGTGAGGAGGGAGGCGGGGCCGAGGTCTCTTGGGCCGGTGCGCTGTCGTCGTCATCTGCGTAGTCTGTACCGTTCTCCCAGCCTTCGGGGATCATGCGAGACATGGACAACTTGTGTCCATCCGTGTTCGTCCGTCCGTGTGCTATATGTATCCATCGTTCACAACAGTCTCCTTAATTCTCATGTATCTACGATAGCACTGAATGGTGCACCTAGCTCCAAACCGCACGAAGACGTCTCTCGACGCACCGCCGCCCCCCGCTAGTCACAAGCGACGCTTGCAGCTCCTGGGCATGCGAAGCACTTCGTTCCCCACTCGTGCGGAGCACTTAAAATGCACCGCGTTCCTCGAGACCACAACCAACAAGGCTTCGTCAGTCTCGCTCATCCTCAGAAAGAGGTGCATACCTCCACGATGCGGAAGGTGAAGCTGGGGTAGGATCTAGGATCGACCTGAGGCTATTAGTAGGCGACCGGCTCGTCAGCGCGGCGTTGCAACTGGTGATGACACAACGGCAACAAGCCATCCACCTTGCGGACGCTCGTGCGTTGGTTCTACACCGGCTGAACCCGGAGCCCGTTGGCATCTAGGATTTGCGACAGTGGCCGTCTGACCCCAAATTCATACAGGATTCGATGAAGACAGATGTGAGCTCATGAACTCACGGAAGGAGGACGGTACGCTGACGTGAAGTCCCTGCATCGATGAATCGGCGAGGTTCAAAGTCGTATCCACCTGCGAGGTTGGATGCTTAGTTTTGGTCGGTCAGGGGCGGTGAGTGATTCTAAAGAGACCGGGACAGGCATTGCACGTTTGAACGGCCGAAGACCCCTCAACTGAAGCATCAACTGGAGCACGGTCCAAAGGTGCAAGAAGGGCACTGGCGGCCGTGAGAGTGAGTAGCTGTAAGACAATGAGAGCAGGTATCTTTGGCCAGACTGAGACATACCGGGGATCGCTGGGCGGCGGTGCACGCGTTCACTCAGGGCACATTCGAACAGGAGGTGTCCAGGAGTCCACGTCAACCAAGACTGGTATATGCAAGCAAAAGCAGTACAGCTAGAATACAATCATGGCAACCTCCCGACACGTTCACGAGCGCAAAGCGTAGACAGTCTTGCCATAATAGTAGGCGGACACGGCAGAGGTCGCCGTGAGGACAGCCGGTACGGGGCCCTTGGTCGCGCGAGGCAGGGACGAGAGGAGTAGAAGAGCAGACGCTCCTGAGGGTAGACAGCCGCGTTGAATGATGCGGAATGCAAGGTCAGATGAACGATACTCACCGAGAGCAGCCTCGAGACCGTTCGCCGTGCCCTTGCGGATGCTGTCCGCGCTCCAGAGGTAGAGTGCGCCGACACTTGGGGTTTCGATAGAGAGAGCCGTCAGCACCTTTCTGTTCCGTCGCACAAGTGTATAACCTTACCCAACACCCGCGACGAGAGAGGGGATACTGCGCGTCCGCGCAAAGCCTGTGAGACCCCCGACGACACACAGGGTGCCCATGACATATGCTGGGTAGGCAGACTGTCCACACCGTCAGTCGCAGCGACGACAGGTGCTCGCGAGGCGTGCTCACCATGATGGATGCTGAGATCGCTGTGGGGGTGGTGGGAGGGGGTGGGAGAGGGGCGGACGCGTTCGTTGCCGTGCGTGTAATGTACTTGGCAGAATGCTGCCAATTCGCCAGTGGCAATTGCCAGCGGCATTTGCCATATCTGCCGGGCTCATCGCTGGGCAGAATGTGGCAGAAGTACGGCGTCTATAGCCATATTTGGTAATTCTCAGTGACGAACACGACGAACTTGCGAATTTTCGCACTGAGTCCGTCGTAGAGCTGCCATTACAGAGCGATACATTGATTATAGATGCTCTCGAGACAATTCTGGGTTGCTTTAGGTGCTGCTCCAGGTGTCAACACTGCACCAGACGCATCCTTTCCGCCCTGGGGAAATGCTGGCGAAATGGTAATGTTGCTGAATTTCACGAGATCGGACAAATTACCTTTCTGAGACGGTAAGCCTTGAAGAAAAGTCTCGTTTAGGGAGCTTCGGAAGGCTAATGCACCTTTTACGGCAAGTGTAAGGGGGTTACATGCACAGTTTCCGGTATAGCAAAATGTTTACTTTCCATAATCCACTTTCTATGCCTTCACTAACCCCGGAAAGGATGCTTTCTTTGCAGTGCAACTTAGCGGATGTGGTACCAGGCGCTAAGTTATTCGCCAGGCAACTGCCAGCCTATGGCAATTGCCATTGCCATTTCTGCCGGCAGTCTCGCCCAAAACAATTCTGCCCGGTACACTACGTGCGTGTGCGCAACGTCGCCTATTTACCCCGCATTGCACTAGACGCCCGGCGCGATCGGAGATCGCGCGGGAAGAGCGTCACCTCTCTTGTGATTTCCCCTCATCCTCTTGACTTAGCTGCCCTCGAGACTCGTACATATGTGATACCCTCCTACGGGTTCAGTCCCAGGCATGAAAGCACTAGGGCGACTGTCGACGTCGATGTTCCGCCGGTATGGGTGCAGCGGCTTAGCGCGACCCTCCCTCGACAGCTGCTCGCGCGACGCGGACGGCCGCCCGTCGGCAGTATTCGCACCTCCAAGAGTCGGGATTATCGGTTCAAGTCCCCAGCGCGTGCCTACGATGCAATTGTGCAAGCTGCTGTCGAGGATTTCTGATGCTCGTACGTGGTACGTCCGCCTCGGGTGACGGTTTGCTTTGAATCAACTACAGATATCTCTACTCACAGCAAGTTCATCGTACTAGCTAGTCCGCCGATGGCTTGCAATCAGTCCTCACTGGACGCTTGTCTCCCACAGGCGGTTCAGGATCCGACAAAACGTATGTGCAGGACGCTGTTTCCACATCCAAGACATCCAAAAACCGCTTGTTCTGCCGATCGCTCTCGAGGTGGAGAACTTCTTCCCCCACTGCCTCCAGAAAGGTCAGATGGTCATAATTCGCTCACTTCTTGTGCGCTCGCCAGCAATCAAGCCCCTTACGTCGGTAGGAGTCAATAACTTCGCTACTCGCATGTGGAACTCAACATCCTGCTCCTCAACAGGCTCTCGATCGTGACCCAAGCACATTCGCGCATAGTCTGGCTTTGTTTGCTTTCTGGACACCTGTTGGGCGTACATATTGACCCCGACAAGAGGGTGCGATGCAGTGTACAGTGAGTGAGCCGGCCGCGCGCAAGATGACGCTGACCTCTGTCTCGGCAGGTAACTCAACATCAAGTTGGCGAGCTTTTAGCGTCCGCTACGACGCGATGTCTCCTCATACGATACCGATGTCCAAGTGATGATTGACTTCGACTGGGACTTGCGACATTTCCGAGGTTGTGCAACACGCCCACCGAAGGGTGCAGGTATGCTCCCAACCCTCCGGTGCCGAGGATTATACAACTTAAGGCAGTCCGACTTCATCCGTTCTTCGTTGTTGCCTGCCGCTGCACTCACTATCCCTATTCTGTCATCAGATCCTGGTTCCATCCCAGCCAAGGCTTGTCTCCCCTAGGCAGCCCACGATCCGACAAGTCGTATGTAGCCAAGGCTGAGCAATTTGAGTTACTGTTTCAAGGGTGAACTCCCCTCTGAATGTATCATAACAACTAACATAGATTACATGGCCGCCTGGCGTAATGGCAACGCGTCTGACTACGACATGCCTATTGGTAGTGGTTAATCAGGAGATTGCAGGTTCGACCCCTGCGGTGGTCACTAGGTAGGATCGGATATTGTTTTATTTGAAGAGCATTTGAGATTTTGAACCGTGTTTGTTCGCAACGGGGCATAATCCCGAAGCTCACAAGCAGAGTATGTCTGTCCCGCTGGAGTGGGAGTCGGTTTGTGCACCTGTCAAAAGTGAGCGGGAAGGGCGCTCGCTGTAGTCGTAGAACCACGGCTTGCGTTGCTTCACTTCAAGTTGTTAAACCGTATTCAAGTTGCGCTTGCTCACTGATACTTCATATCCATATCTGTCCTGAACTCGCGAAAATGGCGCAAGTTCTACCTAAGAAGAATGAGGAGTATGGTACTAAAGAGTACTGGTGAGACTGTCACTGGGATGTGCGATTTATTTGCGAGAACTGACGTGCTAGGTACTGCAGGGACCAGCGATACACCCAGTAAGGCTCTCCCGTCGTCTCGTGGACCAGCATAGCATGCCGACCATTATGTCGCCTCTCAGGGAGCCTGAAGACTCTTCGTTTGATTGGTTTAAGTCTTACGGAGACATAGCCGACATCATGCGCGAGCTCATCCCGGACAAATCGTCAAGAATCCTTATGCTGGGATGCGGCAACTCTACACTATCGCAGGACGTATGGCTCCGAAACGCATCGACTGTCCGCCCATGTATCATCGCTGATTTCCTTGATAGATGTACGCTGACGGCTACAAGAACATCGTGAACACCGATGTGAGTGCCGCCGCTCGTACTTAGAAGTCTCACGGTCCTTGAGCTTGCTCACACTCGGGCTTGGTACATAGTACTCTGGCGTCCTCATCGAGAAGATGCGTCACAAATACGAACAGACCGCGCCAGAGATGGAATGTAAGAGCTACGCCCTCGACTTACAGTCGGACCACGGTCCTTCTGACCGTCATGATCTGCATAGGGCACGAGATGGACATCCGCGATCTGAAGTTTGAGGCCGATACGTTCGACGTCGCGATAGACAAAGGCATGCCGCATGCCTTCGCATGGATGCTCCTCGCGCTCACGAACAGTCACAGGGACGATGGACGCGATGATGACAGCCAAAGCAGATGTCTGGGTAAGCGTCGAACGACCGCCTCTTAAGCTTCTGTCGAGTCCCGCTGTTGACGACATCACGATATCTACTAGGATCCGCCAGAGGAAGTCGTACAGAACTGCAATCGTGAAGTGGACGAAGTCTTACGGTTCGTCGCCTTCACTTCGAGTCATCTTTCGGAGTGTCCAGCTCAACTAAGTCGCCTACTCTAGGGTCCTCCGACCAGGTGGCCTCTTCATCTACCTCACCTTCGGCCAGCCCCACTTCCGCCGCCGGTACCTCGACCGCCCGAACACCACCCTAGAGATCCGCAAGCTGGGCGAAGCCTTCCATTACTACCTGTATATCGTCCGAACATAGCATCCGAGAGCAGCGACCAAAGCAAGCAATATGTATGTAGATCAATGTAGCCTATAGAGGAGAATCATCGTGGTTCAGCGAGCGCGCCAGCATGCGCCGAGTCTGCTGTAAGCAACCACACGATATCGGTCTTCGTGACCATGCCCATCAGCTTGCCTGCCTGCGAGAAGAGTATATGTCGCAGGTTCTGCGTATACGATTGAGCGCACGGATAGAAATGAGGATTGGGCGGCGGGACGTACCAGCTTTTGGAACATGTTCACGACCAACTCAAGCGGCACGTCCTTCCGGAGCTGTAGAACGGCCTCCTCGAGCAGATGCGACAGGTTGATCATCTCGTTGTCGCCCTGGTCTGTCCGACTCGGCGGCAGGAACGTGCACTTGCGATCCATGGAGCGGTCCTCCGCAAGCAGCCCCTCTGTCCACCGAGGCGTCAGCATGTCACTCAGGAAACATGCGCCAATAGTCAACACCCACCGATGCATGCCCGCAGCTTATCCCGCATCACGATGCCCAGGAGCTGCTCCCCATGCACCACCGGAAACCCTCTGAACGTATGCCTCCGCACGAGCGCGTCGAGGTCCCTAACGATACATCCCTGCCCGTCGTCGCTGATGACCACGAGGTTCCCCGCGGGCTTCATGACGTGAGCAGCGGTCTGGCCCTTGTCGCGGAAGTCGCGTGGGGGCAGCCACGGGTACTGGCGCATCGCGATCCAGATGGAGTATATGCCGTCCTTACCGAACGCGTCCGCGACCCACTTGGAGACCATGACGGAGATCATGATCGGGAGGACGTGCGAGAGCGCTCCTGTGAGCTGCGGACGGGGAGAGCGTCACTGTCAGGGGAAGGCCTCATCAGGGAGCGCGAGAGCTTACCTCGAAAAGGATCACGACGATGGAGACTGTCCCACGGAGGGTCGTCAAAACGGCGGCAGGAGATGGTAGACCGAGACTGGGACACTCACCTGTCATGCGGGTAACTCCACCCAACATTGCAGACGCGCCCACGACGGCGTAGAAACCGGGAGATATGCATCGCACCGTCGGGTCTGGGGGACAGGAAGAGAATATCCACGCCTGCGGGTATGTTCGGTATAGACCCTGTCTGCAAGCATCGTCAGTGAGCACTGCTACGCTGGAGGGGAAGGCGAAGCGGGCACAAACGTGATCAGTCCAACGGCGCGGCCCATGCACGCCCCGATTGCGATGGTGGGAAGGAAGATACCAGCAGGAACCTACGCAGGTCTATCAGATGTTGGAACGGCGCATGGAGCAATTCCAGTGCATACCATCATACCAAAGGTCCATGCGGTGAACCCGATCTTCGCCATCGCAGTGAGGATGAGAAGAAAGACGTTCGCCCAGACCGCCGTCGGACTGTCGTAGGCCAGTCAGCATGGCTCGAATGTCCCAATACTCGATTGCCAACGCACTTGCAAAGCCCATGGTAGTCAGGCTTAGTCGGGTCACATTCTTGAAACAGATTCGCAACAAGCTCCGACGACTGCACCCTGAGAAAGACAACCTGCGCAAGCCGTGAACGTCGTCGGGCGACACGATGCAGAATCCTGCACATACCAGGTAGCTGACGGCGGCTGTGATAGCTGTGAAGCCGACGACCTCGACTATGGGCCACTCGTGAAGGACGCTGTGCCTCCTGTAGGCAGCCGCGGCGGCATTCAGCTTGATCAGGAGGGAGCCAAGGAGACCCTTACGGCCGAACCATCAATCACGCGCCATCTGTCCCATGCAGGACGTACGCACCCCAAGAACAGATAGGAATATCCAAGGTACCTGTACATACACGCAGTCAGCGACCTCCCGAAACAAAGCCACACATCACGCACCAGCTCGAACGCCCGCCACGTCGAGGCCGATTCGGACACCTGGAACAGCACCAGCTTCGACGTCCCAAATGGGTCGATATACTGCAGCGACACGGCAGCGATGACGGACGTCACGAAACCGCGCCACATAACATCGCTGTCGTTCGAGAACGTGTCGAGCTCCTCCAACCCGAAGAGCACGCCGCCCAGAGGACTGCCGAAGGCGACGGACACCCCGGCAGCCGCAGCGGCGGCCAGCAGCTTGCGCTTGCGCGCTGCATAGCTTCAGCACTGGACGGGTAAAGCGGGGCTTGGCAGCACAGAGCTCACCTTCATTCTGCCGGTACTGCTTGAGGACACGGGAGAGCAGGAACGCCCAGCAGCAGGCGACGTGGACTAGCGGCCCTTCCTTGCCGAGTGAGAGGCCGGACGCTACAGCGAGTGCGAGACCGAGAGCCTTGATGAGAAGCACCCATGGGCCAAGGAACGCGTCGAGAACATATCCGCTGAGAATCTATCAGGCGTCTTGTGAGCGCGGAGACAACGCGGCGCGATACTACCTCATACGTACCGCCTTGATTTCCGGGACTGTATGCATGACCAGCTCAGCTCAGACATAGTAGAAGTAGGACGCGACACGTACTTCCTGTGTGGAACGCACTGCGACGTGCACGTTAGTATGACGATCTGGTCGCGTGGCGAAGGCTGCTCACTATGGAGCGTATGTCAAGACCAGCACGGCCGAACTTCCTGCAAAGCCGATCTGCCCACGCTCATGCGTGAGTTTGACAATGTGCGCATGGTGGATGTAGATTCTCGTACCGACAAAGCAATGTAGATAGCGGCTTGAAGCAGTGACTGTCCGAATATACTCTGGACATGGAGGTATTCACTCCAGCTCTGCCACTCATTGCAGACCTCTCCAGCTAAGTGGCGTCCGCGTCAAGCAATCCTAGCAGGGGCATATATTAAGAGGTTGTACTCACGGTCAAGACCACTACAGCATGCGACCTGGTTGTAGAAGAAACCGTACGTGCAGCGTCCTTCTCGCAGATCGCCTAGCCTGCCTGGCGTGGGCATACATGTTGGAGGAGAAGGAGGAATATGAGGCGTACCACTTTACTAGCACATCCAGCCATGCCCCCAGCACACCAACGCCAACACCCGTCAAGATGATCACCAGCCACATCCCCGCCGAGTCCAGCACCAGCGCAAGAAGCCCATGCAGCCCCCGTTGCGACCGGATGGCGCGCTTTCGTTCGCGTTCCGCGGCCTCTTCGCGGAGCCAGTCGATGGTACTTCCCTCTTCGTATGCAACTTGTTTCTCTAGGGAGCGCGAGGAGAGAAGCGGGCCTGTCTCGGTGTCAATGAACTCGTATGCCTCTGCGTCGCGGACGTCGCGGTCTCCACCCTTGAACCAGGGCAGATGCGAGCCGCTGTCGGTGCATCAAGAACGGTCAAGCGCAGTAGCACAGACAAGCAGAGGTCCGGACGTACGACATCTTGTCTTCTTATCAATGTCTCTCGCTCCTCCGAGTCCCAGGGTATAAATGGTCTTGCTTGGCCTGGATCTGCGGTACCGTGACGATACCGTAGATAGTTTTGAGTAGCCGTAATCAACCGTAGCTCACGAAAGTGTCAGCTAGACCCAGGAGCTGACGATACTGGCAGAAAAGAGGAGGCGTAACGGCAGAGTGTCGTCGAGATGCATTTCCGGGAAAGTCGGACTGTGAGCTACCGGCGTCAAGGCCAATAGCTTCTGGAAATAACATGAG